CCTAAATTGGGTCCCAAAGACAGCGGCCGACTACAGACAGACGCTTCAGAACCGTCCCTTGACTGATCCTTAGCTCTCAAAACCTCCAACAAGCGAAAGCCCCTACTTGCAGGATCATGGGACTTAGTAACTAGGGTTCAGGGTTTACGGGTTTAGGGGCCCAGGGTTCAGGGTTTAGGGTTAAACTTACGGTTGATGATATAAACCTTGCATTACCCATAAGAAGGAATATACCAAAATTCCCATCGTGTCGTGTAGGGTCCTTAAGGTAATGCAGGGTTTACATCATCAACAGTAGTAACTAGAGTTCAGGGTCCCTCTCAAGGGTACTATAGGGCTCTATAATATCGGGTTCCCTTTACGGGTTTAGGGCTTAACGAGTTAGTCACCAGGGCTACTCATAAGGTAGCCAAAGTTATACCTACTTGATAACTCCAATTTAGGTACTTCGAACCTTACTAACTACTTGGAGGTTCATGGGTATTTTTACCCTACTTATAACTACCCATGAACCCGCAAGTAAGTCCCATGATCTTCCAAGTGGGGGGTGGTGGCCTCGGTCTTGATCTTCTTCCCCACCTGAGGAGGCAAAGAGCTCAGTGGGATCCTTGAGAGGGGGCTTCGGGTGCAAACTACGCAAACTCTCAGATCTTCCCAAATCCCTCAATTGAGGAATATACCCTAAAGTGTAGTAGGATCCCTGACTATGGTTTGTAAGGTAGTTTTCCTTAATTCAGGGGTTTTGGAAGATCTGGGCTCATCATCTCATCCCTCCTTTAATTGCTTTTCTGCTCCACACGGTCATCGGCTGCCACTCAAACGGGCAACGCTATCTTCGAACGGCAGCCCTTTAGCTCTGTATGCTTCTAGCGCGAGCCGCTTCATAGAGGCTTGGTTAGGGTAAAGAGGGGCTTGATAATTAGAGCATGGCTCCGGGGGTATATCATCACTTGGATATGTCGGGATTGCCTAAGGATACTCCCTAACGATTCCGAGGTCTGTTATTAAGGTTCAGAGCCTCAGAACCTTGTGCTTGAGACCGGACCTGGCTTCTTTTCCGCCAACGACACCACCAGTAGCTGGGACATGCGGCTTCGGTGCGAGAGGCCACATGCGCTTCCATTGGGTCTTCTCGCTAAGGTCCAAAGGACCCAATAATAAGGTACTTTGGTTGCGGAGAGCAGTTATCTCAGCGTTCTCTAGGTTAATAGTTGGGGGAGTATATGCTTCTTGTCGGTACTTGGACCCCGAGGGTTCTGGGCCAGGGACCAGGGATTCCGAGATTCGATGAAGGCTCCACTGAAGTTAGAGCCCCTTGTAACCTAGAGACTCCACAGCCCCTGAATTAAGGAATATACCTTATTAAAGTGTAGTAAGATCCCTAGTATGATAGGCATATTCCTTAATTAAGGGGGTTTGGAGTCTCTGGGAACCTGCCTGGCACCACATTGTACCAGAATCCGGGGCAAGTGCGACTCTCGAGACGAATTGTTCTGGAATCGGCATCTCGATAATGTCGCCGTCCTGCCGCTGGACCGAGTGACGCTGCAGGTTGAATGCCGTGAAATGGGGCAATTCCAAAAACTCACACTGCCGTTGCTTTTTTCGTTTGACGCCAAAACTGGATTGTAGGAAAACGGCTCGACTGCCTATGGCAGGCACTGAAAACTGAAAATTAATACAAGACACGACTTCGTGGTCTTTGTGGCGGCTTGCGAATTCTACAGCATGCCTCTTGGAGGATGCGGAAAACTGTCGAAAGGAATGCCCCGGTAGTCTGTGGGTTGTCGGGATGCTTATGATCCCGAGCCTCATACACCAGGAACCTGATGATGGAGACCCCGAAATGGAGTCCTAATTTTCTGACACCCCCGCATGCCTACGACCAGCAAGTGACGGGCTGAAAAAGGAGGGTGCTTTTTCAGCGTCCCAGTCTCAGCATTGTGCTTCCCATGCTTTCCATACCTTCCCGGTGCCTGCATCTGCAAGCCCCCACCGAATTAGCCGGCCCACTTCTCCCATTTGCTGCAAACTGTCCATGGCATGCCAGGATGCCAGAAGGCCGGACTTCGGGTCGAAAATCAGAGATTGCAGCTCGGTGTTGAACTGGTCGATATTCGTGCTACTATTGATCTTGTTGAGTATGCGTGCCTTGTCCGTTTCGCAAGATGCACGCATGCAACGAACGTCTAGGTTTTCTAGACTGCATGCACACTTCAAAATTGTCTCCTTGGACGCAAGCTTTAACGACTGCTTCATTTGCAGACGGCTGGCCTCTGCAATTTCAGCGACACACCAGGCGCGATTGAATAGATCAAGGGATTGATCCACTGCAATCACCTGCCTGCAACCTCCAGTTGCTGCAAGGTGATACATCATGTCATTGAACTTGTTGATCTCTGAAAGGGCATTTCGTCCATCTAGATCGCGGACGTTCGTGCTGCTGCAGCTGCACACTGGATGCAGCTCATCCGTAAGAGGATCGCGGTCGAAATAATTGGTGTGGCATATAGTGATGTGCTGGTTCACAGCAAACGCACAAACCCAATATGTGTCATCCAAGCGACCGCTCTGAGCCAACATCTCATACAGGAGGACGCTGTCTTTCTCCAGCAACTTTGCTGCCAGGTTAAAGCTGCACTCCTTAAGAGCATCCGAGATCACAGCTGCCAGCAAGTCCTTAAAAGAGTTGCCCCAGTTGTGGGTCACCATCACATCGGCCCTCTGAGGACCGTCCTTGTTTAGACGTGAGACTGCGTAGGCGCATTCTTCCTCGGAGGTGAGGGGGATGATCGCCCTGCGGACCACGTCTCTGGTCTTGTGCACGCTGGGCACATACTGCCATTCCATGTAGGGAAGCTGGTCTTGGTAGAAGTGAAGTAGGCTACGTAAGGTCATGCCACGCAATGAGAGCTCTTCGACTTTTGCAAGCCACCTGGGGCTCCACTCGCTGTCTTTGGGCTCTGCCTTTTGGGGAGCCGCGGAGCCCTTGGGCTCTGGGCAGAACCAGGCACACTGTCCGTGGCCATGCATCTCGACCTTTCGCAGACGGTGGCTGCCAGAGAGAAAGAGCACGGCGGCCGCGTTCCCAAGGAAATAGAGCGCCTGGACGAAGAAGATGATCCAGACAAGCTCGACCTGGAGCTGGATGTCCCTGTAGCCCAAGATGGCTGCTGGAACCACCAAGATCGTGAAAACGATGCGGAAGCTTACGCCCATCACTTGCAGGGCAGCAAACCTTCGAGCTTGTCTTAAAGCAGACAGCGCAGCAACGGGAGTGTCTTTGAGCTCTGCCGCGTGCAAAACCCTTCTCATCTCCAGGAAGCACTGGATCAGCGAGCAGATTGCCACGAAGCTTGCTGCCACGTTGCAAGACATGGTCAGGGAAGCTCCCCAGATGATGATGTGCAACACCCCATCCGAAGTCCAAGACATCCCTGCAGCAAGACAGCAGAATGCCGAGATTGCAATCACCGTGGCACAGGCTGCCTGTTGCACACAAATCAGTTTCCGCATGCATCCACTCCGGAATTTCCGATGCGAGGACTTCTCCAGGAGCTCGAGTCTCGAAGCAATAAGCAGTTGTATCCAGAAGGAGCCAGTTACGTAGAGCCCCAGTCTGCATAACATGAGAGGTGCATACTGCTGCGCTTGCACGACACCGTACATACAATCGGTGTTCACTGTATGCAAGCTCACCGAGCTCAGTATGGCTTGCAACCAGTTCACGACAGCATAACCACAAGCTGACCTTGCATGAGCTGAAGCAGCAGCCCTTTTTCCCAAAAAGGCCGCCGCACAACCAGCTGCAAGACTAACCAGCATCAGCCCGCAGAAGAAAAACATGCCCAGGAAATCACGGCATGGGTCAGTAACAATGCCGCCGACGAGTTCAGAATGCTGCTGGGGGAACAGCAAAGCTGTAGCTGCGCCGGTCACGATGCAGACCGCAAAGTATTGTCCAGGCCGCCATCGTTGCCATATCGACCGGGCAACATCAGATCGACTGGACAAAGTAGCTGAAATCTCAGCTGAAATCTCGGAAGTTTCGTCTGAACTTTCCGAGGTTGAGTCTGTCATCGTGCCCATATGGCTGCAATCACGGAGTTCTGAATCGGTTGCAAGATGCTGTTCGTCAGGCGACCTTGTCTGCCGTGCGTTCTCCGAACTTCAATTGTCCCGCTTCGGATGGTACAGGGTGCTAGATTTGGGGCTGCTTGCCAATGGGTTGAACTCAAGGACGGCCGTTGCGGCTAGACCGTTGTCAACCACCCCTGGAACTTCCAAAAGGTGCCTAGGGCATAGAGTCGCATGGAACCATCATTGGACATCAACTTTTGGACTTGCGGATGGCCTGATGTGTGCAAGCAACGGCAAACTGCCACCGAGAATGCTGCGGCTGCACAAAAGGATGCAACATCGACTAGTCCTCTCCGTCTGGATCTGGAATCGTGACCTCATCGTGCGAAACAGGAGGAAGTCTCTCATGTCTCACGATAAGGTTCGTGCTAATGTGCATTCGCCTTCCGTGCGCATCCCGGCTTCGTGGCGCGATCCTGGATGTACGAACTCCACACAATGCCAGGCACTTGATGGCGGATGCGAGCAAAGCCAATGGCAGAAGCGATGAGCAAATAACTTGATGATGGCAACCGCTGTTTTATAATGGCGGTGTTGATGATGATGATGATGATGATGTGATGATGATGATGATGATGTGGATGTCGACGATGATGATGATGATGGAATCATGACGCTGATGGTGATAATGATGGTGATGACAAAACCAAGACAGTGTAACCATCCTGGTCATGCTCTACGCGTCCCTCAAGACGAGAGAAACATCACAAAGGCAAACCAGCTACTCATTTCCTCGCTTCAGACGACTATGCCACTGCTACAGCCCGACGCGAATCTTCCGAAACGGACAGTGTCAACAACTGCTACTTGACAGCCACATACGCAGTGTCCAAGTGTCCTGACAATGCATCTTCCAAGTTTCAATCGCATCCTGCCCTCAGCGAAACAGGTGCGGTCGCCACCGAGTTCCGGGCATTCATCTCCGATGACTTGGAGGCTGTAATCTCAGCACCCACAGACTCCTCAATAAAATGGGGGCTCAGGCGTGATCTAAAGGCTCAGAAAAGATGACTAAGAGGGGGATCATTGAAATGATCCCATTTAGAGCAAAAAACTTTAGACACTGAGTTTATGTAGGTTACTTCCTAAGTTCCATGATCCCCCAAAAGACTCCCGAACGTTGGCATTCGAAGATCTTCGAGTCGTGGAATCATTGCTTTCGGAGCTGAGGGGTGCGCCTTCGAGTTGCGTGAGGATTTAGGGTGGACATGTTTGAGCGCGACACCCGAGGCGTTTAAGCCCGGGACTTGAACTGTACTCAAAAACTCTGGGGGTTCAGGGTTGGGTCATCAAGCGTCAGAACCCGCAGCCCCTAAACTCAGACCCGTGGCTACCAAATGTAGGGGCCTTAACATTTCGAATAGGGTTTTTGGGTATATTATACTACACTAAAACTATAGTAAGGAACCCCCAAGACCCTATTCTAAATAAGGCCCGTACATGAAGCGCACAAGTCCTGACACCCTAAGCCTCACTCCTTTCATTCAGTTCAGTTACTACAGGGGCCTGAAAACCTAGAATCGGGTTTCGGGGCATATTATACCATAGTCTCTTAAGGCCCCTACATTGTATTCCTTGGCGGTCTTAGGTTTCGGGTTGAGGTGATGAGATTTCAACAGAGGCGACCTGTATCTCCCAGAGAAGCCGCGGCCTCAACAGTACCAGCTCTATGAAACACTTCTCATGTTTGGGGGGCCCCGACCTTTGAGAGGAAGACGTTCACGCCGTCGCACTTGTCAATGGCGATGGCGACAACCTTCCCATGAAATGAGAGCTCATGCTTGCAGCCCATGCGGTGTAGGGGATAAGCTTAAAGGTTGACTTAAGGCTTAGGGTTTGTTTAAGGTTTAAAACCATCTTCATAATAGATCCAAACCATAAAATCAGGCACGCCTCTGGCTTGGAGCCCACATGTTCGTGATCTGGGACGTAAAACATGACCAACAAGTCAAGTACTCAGGCTTCTATATTGCTGATGTTCTGGTTCATCTTACTACCAGTGTTCAGTCGGCTGACATCCCCACGAAACTTGGCTCTGGCTCTTGGAAAACTTGTACCGTTACGTTTAGGATCTCCTCGAAAAGTACTTCTGGATAGTTCTGAAAGTTAGGGTCCCTTTTCGTTCTTTTTACAAGGGTGCCACCCGTGCCACCCTCTTACGGTGCCCAAAAAGTTTCCTGCCACCTCTGTAGGGATTCTACGGGGCCTTGAAAAGGGAAGGCTTCTTGCGATCCGGATTAGGCACAGCCTTATCTAAGCCCTAAACCCCTTGCAATCCCTCAGGTCCCAGATGGAAGAGTCGAGCTGCAATAATGCGACGCTTGTGACGGTTAAAAAAGACGGTTGATGATGTAAGCCCTGCATTACCCAGAATTGATAAGGAATATACCATAATTCCTATAGTTTAGGGTCCTTAAGGTAATGCAGGATTTATATCACCAACAGTAGTAAGAAGAGCAAGCAAAACAAGATCTCTGCAGACCCGTGCCGAAAGTCTGGGATTGGGGTTATGCCAAGCTGGGATGTGCTTGTAAAATACGAGTCTGTGGCAAGTGTGAGGCACCAAACATAGACCCAAACCACTTGGATGCGCACTAAAGGGACCCAGAAGAAAGGTACCTCAGCGTTAAGAAACCCCCTCCGAAATAACTTTTGTTCACGAAGACCTGGAGTACGACTCTCCCATGGACCCGTAGGGTTTAGGGTTCAGGTGGGATGCTGTTCAATGCTCGAGAGTCTACCCGAGTCTTCCGGCCTTGCCGACGGCCTGCATTTGACATCGGTCGCTGTTCACCAGCTCCACGGCCTCTTCGGAGGGTACACTGTTGTGTAGTTCTGGCTCTCTAGGGAAACTCGGAAATGATGCACTCAGGATCGGTGCAGTCAAGTACATGTGGCCACAAAGCGACTAACGCCGGCTCTTCCAGTGGAAGCGTGTGACAAAGGGGCCTGAAAAGAGATAGAATAGGGTTGTGGGGTATATTATACTATGGTGATGAAAAGGAACCCCCAAAAAGTATAGGTAATTGTCTAGGCCCCTATATGGGGGTTGATGGCTTCATTCTCGGTTTCAGGGTCTGCGAACTTAAGTCGAACCTGGCTCCGGGAATAGGGGCTTAGAGTTTAGGAGCTTGGGCGTTCAGGGTTTAGGGCGGACGTGAATAAACTCTCCTGATGCGTGTGGCTGTCTTGGCTTCCAGCAGAGATCACGTCTTGGCAGATGACGTTGACTTTCTCGCAGCCATCGATGCAAATAGACTTGACCTGCCCCCAAAGCCCGGAGTATCAACCTTCACCCAAGGCTCCCTCGTACTGATTTTCTGACCGTATGTACTCATCGCCTTGTCTCTGCAATTACCTCACCTCAATCAATCGCGTCGCAGCGCCCTGGACAAGGTGGCTTCAGGGGCCCTGCTTGAACCTGGAACAATGCTATCCGCACTGTAGGATCCTGAACAAACAAAGGCCTAGCATCAAGAAGCGCCCTTGTGCAAGGGGTGTTGAGGGTAGAGCTGGGCAGTCCGAAAAAGCGTTTCGCCAACCTTGCGCAAGATCGCTTGCCAATGTTGCATATCTAGCAGGCCTTGTTCTTGATGTGGACGGTGGTGTTCCGACAGTTGATGATGCAAACCAGCTGTTGCATGCTGACCTCAAATGGCTGGGGCGACTGTCACGGAAGAGGATCTATGTACACCCGGCATTCGTCCTGTGACCAAGATCCACAATGGCCGCACTGTGGCTGCCATCATGATGACAGTGGTCATTATTCAGCAATGTCTTCGGCCAACATGACAACCACCACCGCCACCAGCACCAGCACCAGCACCAGCACCAGCACCAGCACCAGCACCAGCACCAGCACCAGCACCAGCACCAGCAGCACCAGCAGCACCACCAGCACCAGCAGCACCAGCAGCACCAGC